CGCACGCACGCACGCACGCACGCACGCACGCACGCACGCACGCACGCCGCTTGTTCTGAGCGTGTTCTCTACGGACCCGGAATCCCCAAGAAACCAACCAGAAACACTGGATGGAACTCCCCAGCCCCTGCCTGGAACTCATCCATTTCCATATTACGTGAAGGATCTCCAGCAAGCCACATTGGAACCTCCATTGATTTCCCGGTTGGGACTGGGTTTCTATAGGGAGGCTTGCGACTTTGAAAGACTTCGAAAGATTAGAACATCGCGGGAGTTTTTTGTGGAAAGGTTCCAGCTTTGTGTCCGTGGGAGCTCGCCCTTTTTTGGAGGTTTCTGTTGGAGCCCCTTGAGCTCTTTCCACTATACTATGGGAATCCAGTGGACCATGAACCAGCAAGGGTCTGACTATAGGTGAACACTTCAGTGGTAGGGTTAGCCATCCAATCCCTAGACCCAACCGTTGCAGTTCTGGATCCGACTACTAACATTCTGAGCAAAACAAGCTGCGTCAGCGTCAGCCCGACTGTGCCCGGTCCGTCAGCGATTCGCACCACGCGTGCGAATCGCCCGGTTTTGGGGGCGCAAGAGTGCACTTACTTGTGGATTGTAAGACTTGTGCCTGCAACTTAGTCTGGGAAGCATCCATAGCTGTGCCTGTGTATTATGGATTTGTCCATTTCGCGGGGGCCCAACTCTAAACAGATTTACTGTATACCACCTGCAACTGTTCAAGTCCCTCAAAGGCACCATTTCGGAAGCTTGTCGTGTTTTTTGTGCTTGCATTGGTAGGTTGCGGAAGCTATGTGGAATAGGCACCTGTAGGGGTCCATAAAACATGTCGATTCTTGGTCCCATGCATGGATGCTTAGGTGCGTATTTGGGATGTCTCCTGCCAATCACATGATGTATGAAGAACCCTTTTGGTGGGGAAAACAAGGTGTTGCTGGTAGGGGTTGAAACGCAACACCATACAGGTCCTTCGATTGCGGTGCAAATGGAGACTCTTGGCGTACCTTTTACTTGTAGAGGATTTCGTCCATTATCAATCCTTGCCCGATCTTCCAAGGCCTACTTGTAGTATCTTGTAGTATGTACTGCCATGCGTAGAATTGAACATCATCATGTTTTCGTGAAGTGAAAACAACCTGTTGGGTCTTCGGATTGACCATGCTCCTCCGCGCCATGCCATCGGGGCGCCATGCCGGGGCCATGCTATCCCATAAAACGGTTCCCAATGGGATGATGATGTCAGGAATGGCAACACCAGTAATGTAGGGGTCAAACGATCTCCCCCCCTGGCATGCCACCCTGTTCAGTTGCTTCGTGCGCCCGTGCCATGCGCTTTGACTGTCCTTTAATTGTTGGCTAAACGTTGATTGATAGATCCCCCGCATGGCACCTGGCGTCGACTCCTCTATTTGTCCCAAGCACGGACTTTCAACTCGAACGATGGTTCATTCGTGAACGGGTCCTGTTCAACAGGATGACTGCCAGGTTCCTGCAGGGACGGTTCCTATTTGGTACCATGCCATCCTGTTGAACTGGTCTCTTAGCGCTTTTGGGTCGACGGCCGCTGATGTGGTGTGTTTTTTCCGCATGTGGGCCACGCATGTTCGAACGAACAGGCCAACATTTTCGGATCGTTGTACAGGAAGGGGTTGATCTTTTTGAAACAAGATCCCTTTTTGGGTTTCCGGAAATTAAGGGTTGTTCGGAGTGTCTGGGCGGTTCCAAACCAGCTTGATGCTACGTAGCTTCAAGAACCGCTTGAAAGGAGAAACCAGCTGAGGCTGGTCTGGCACAAGACACCATGTCCATCACACCAATTGGCCACCGCCGGGCTTGCCCGCGCCACGAGGCTCATCGGTCGACCGATCTCCCTACTATCAGTTGTGAACCTCTATAGCCTTGTTGGGAATTGGATTCTATGAACAATAAAGAACAGCGGATGAAGGGCGAACCTTTACTCTGCACGGAGTTCCGAAGGCCTGCTCGAGGCCTGCTGAAGAGGCTGCTCCCTTCGTGGGACCAACTCCCTCGGAAAAAACAACAGGGGATCCCAAAACACGGCAACTCACAGCCGCAACGAAAACAGCGAAGCCGCGAATCCTCACATGTAAGGATTGGACGCAACATCCGTGCTTTGGGTCTGCCCTTATCCTGGTTGGTTCAGAAAGAGGTTCGTTGGGGGGGGCAATCCCTCTCCTCTAGCTAGGTCGGTCCCTCGCTCGCCCGAGATGTGGTCCTATGTAACATCAAGAGGCTCCAACAGGCCACGCTAGGCTCAGACCATGAAACAACAGGTTGACCTTGCTTTGTCGTCTAAAACCATCTAAAACCCTTAATCAAACACAGGTTGTACATAGTAAAGATCATTAAATTGAATGGTTGTTGGACTCCCAGGGAGTAGCGGTGAGTTTTACTCCCAACGACCGAGACTCGTGGGGAGGTCGCTTGCCCGGCACATTTTCCCGGCTCCGTGCACCACCGGAAGCCGCTTTTCGAAGATGGGTTTCACCCTGCGCGATCGTCCAGGAATGGAACGCTTGAACGCAAAAATGAACTGCTACATGGCAAATGAAGGGATCCATGGGTTGACTAAAAACATGTGTTGAATTGATATGCATCCAAGACCATTTTTCCGTTTGACCATGTTTTGCACCAAACATCGGTGCTTCTTTATGGAAGAAATGCGGTGCTTGGTCACTCCATAGGATCTTTTTAACAGGTGCATGGCGAAACAGGAAGGGCGCGGACGCCAGGGTCCCCTTGGAGCCGAGGGACAAAGACCGGGCATCCTCTTTCTGTGAAAAAAGAAGAACTCCTTCATATAGCTGGACCCGACTTCAAGTACCTTGGAAAATGGGACATGACCCCATTTAAAAAAAACAGGTACTTGTACCCATTTTCCGAGGTACGAACTGAGACTCCAGGTACTTCTTTTTTGGAGTTCATGCCTTTGGGTTGATCTTCAACACACTGAAAAGAGCAAACGGCTCCAGGAGTCCATATACACTCGTGAAGAGACCCACAAGGAACTTGATGGCATTGGACTAGACTGGAAGACTAGCGGAACCTCCAGCTGCAGCGTGGGTCTCGGCGTTTTCGGGTTCCGTGTGGGTCTCGGAACCAGGGCAAAAGCAACGCACCCTGTTTGCTCTCCCCGCTGTTCACCCGGTGTGGTCGCCACCCGCCGATGTTTTCTGGACGCTCTATGCGCACGGAGTGGCCGACCGGGGCTCCTGGAGGGTTCAGCCTCGGTGGCCACGATGAGAAGGCGCCCCAGACCAGAGGGAATCTTTTGGAAAGGAATTTGAAGGGGATTTGTTTCTGAGCTTTTAGGTTGGAGGCCATCGCTAGTAGGTTGGAGGCCATCGCTAGTAGGTTGGAGGCCATCGCTAGTAGGTTGGAAGCCATCGCTTTTAGGTTGAAGGGCATGGCTCGTAGGTTGGACGCCATCACTGTTAGGTTGGAGGCCATCGCTTTTAGGTTGGAGGCCATCGCTATAGTAGGTTGGAGGCCATCGCTAGTAGGTTGGAAGCCTTGGCTTTTAGGTTGGAGGTTATCGCTAGTAGGTTGGAGGTTATCGCTAGTAGGTTGGAGGCCATCGCTAGTAGGTTGGAAGCCATCGCTTTTAGGTTGGAGGCC